CTCGAGAGTTGCAGCAGCGTGGTCAGCTTTGTCTTGCTTACGTGGCCATTCGGGCCAACACTGCTGATATACTCACCAAGGCACTTCAGCCGGGTGATCATCAACGTTTTTGTACTGTTTTAGGCCTTGTGCCTACTTTGCCTCACTTGCTCACTGCGTGACTTTGCTTGTACTGTCATGTACGTATATATATACCAGCATGCTTACACTTGTTAGCGTATGATCACTGTACTGTTTGTTCTCTTTTATATAACTCTACATGTGAACTGGCCTTGTGGGCATTTGCTTGTGCTCAGAATATGTGCTGACTTCGTGATCCACCCTGAGCTTGCTTTGCTTTTCTTGACTGGTCTTGTGGCCACTTGTTCTCCCCCACTTTGCCTATGGGGGTGTGTCAAAATGTTATACTGCTTATATTGTGTAGGCTGTAGTGGGGTAGCTCATAAGGGGTACAACCCAATTAGGGTTAGTACTTGTACCAACTTTCTGCTCAATGCATTCATTCTCGTTCAGTAATTTGTCAGTATTAGCGGAAGGGTCTTAATGAGACTTATTGAACCACTTTGCACTGTTGTGTGAGAACAAGATGAGTTGATTAGAAGAAAGAGATACAGGGCTTTTATATGATTAGTGGGAATATGAAAGGTTTTATTAACTGCGATTGTAACTGCTAATGCGGGTCGATGCAGCGACGACTCGGACAACTGCTCAATAGCGAGTCAGTTATTTGTCCTTGCTGTCGTGCTGTTTTCGTTAAGTCAAAGGTGACTGACCTTTGAACTTCGCTCCAACTTCTTGCTGTTGTCGCTTTTGTCAACCGCTTCGCTGTAGCTTGGTTGACTCGGTGTTGCTTCGCTGTGAGTCTGATTTGTTCTTGTTATAGTGCTCGACACATCAGAAGCGTGACCTATATGTTTCCAACACCCCCCTTCGCTTTTGGAGTGTCGTCGCTTTCGTTGCTGGTGACGTGGCCTTGTCCAGTCAGCAGCATGCAGTACTCGAACTTCTGCTTTCCGAGTTTCTTGGTCAAGTAATCTACTGCCATCTCGGACGTGGGGTAGTAGGATAGCTTGAGTCTTCCTTTCTCGATCTCGTGTTTCACGAAGACGTATCGCAAGGCGATGTGCTTCGTTCAGTTCGTGAACCCGTTCTTGTTCGCTATGCGAATTGCCGATTGGTTCTCGCAGAAGAGGGAGAAGTTGGGTAACCGGGCCAGCTTTGCTTCTGAAAGTAGTTCGCGAAGGTACAGTCCTTCCTTGGTAGCTGTGCAAAGTGCAATGTGTTCTGCTTCGGCGGAAGAGAGAGCAATTAGCTCTTGCTTGCTTGACAGCCACGAGATAGGACCAACGGGTTCGAGTCGATAGACCTAGCCGGTGTGCGATAGTCTGTTGTCGGAGTCGCCTGCGTGGTCGGCATCCACATAGCTGGTCAGTTTTGGAGTCATGGTTGCAGTTTTGTGGTAGGTTAGGCCGACTGCTGGTGTACTGACGAGGTATTGTTGCGCGCGATCGAGTTCTGCCATGTGCTCTGCTTCAAGCCTTTTGAGATAGGTAGCGATTTGGCTCGCCGAGTATGAGAGGTCCGGTCGACAGATGACGGCTGCGAAGAGCAAGCATCCCAGTTTCCGCTGGTAGTCGCGCAGTCTGGCAGGTCCAAGCGGATTAGATTCTCCCTGGTGGTTTCCCGCGGTGTAGCGATAGGGCGTGGAGATGACGGCTGGCGTTAATCCGAAGCGTTTTGGGATGGTGTAGGCGTATTTTGTGGCGCTGAGGTAGATCCCGTTCTCTCCGTCGAGTATGTTGAGCCCCAGGTATTGGGTCACGGTAGAGGAGACTGTGAGTGAGAGATCCTGCTGCAGCTCCCCTTCGAACCAGGTGGTGATGTCGTCGGTGGAGCCTATGTAGAGTAGGTCGTCAACATAGACAATGAGTAGGATGTACATCCCTTGATGAGTCTGTTGCCTTTGTGAGTCTGTACATCCCTTGATCGTGTGGCAGTTGCTGGAAGCCGATGCGAATCAGACGGGTGTGCAGGTACTATTGCCATAGTTGCGGAGCTTGTTTGATGTCATACATCGACTCAGTAGCTGACAGACTTGGTTGGGGTCTTTGATGGATCCGTGAGGTTGCTCGACGAACTCTCTGTATCGACGGGAGCGTAGAGGAATGCATTGGCCACGTCGATTTGGCGGAGCTTCTTCTGTTTCATGGCAGCCACCGCGAGGAGAATTCGCAGTGAGGTGTGTTGGCTGACCGGCGCGAAAGTTTCGGTGAAGTTCCGTCCGTGCTCTTGATCGAAACCACGCACGACCCATCGTGCCTTGAACTTGTGAATTGTTCCGTCTGCCTTTGTTTTCACGCGAAAAACCCATTTTCCCGTGAGTATGGTTTTGTTGCGTACTGCTCTGAAGGGAACCATCTTCCACGTGTTGCGGTCTTCCAGATCTTTTAGCTCCCTGTCCATGGCTTCGCACCATTTTTCCCTGTGCTCCCCCCCCAGAGCCTGCTGAACTGTAGTAGGCTCTCGCGGTGGCGACGCTCCATGGACGGAGGTGACAAGTCCGAGAATCTGCAGCCCACTCTGTGTGAGTCGAGGGAGACTTGGATCCTCAGGATAGACTGCTTCATCACCCGCTTCTGGATCAGGTATGAAATTGGGGCCTATGCGTTCTGAGACATTGGTGTTGATGGGTTTGGGTGTAAGGTAACCATTGTCAGCGAAGTCGTAGTAGACTTCGGCGTTGACACTTTCGCGAGGGTTGTCGTCATCTATCGGAACAGGTACCGAGCAGTAGGGTAGAGGTCCGGCTTCCTCCGATGCTCCATCCACGTTTTGCTCATCCCGGTTTGCCTCATCTGCTGGTGAGGCAAAGGCTCAGTTGCCACGGAAGCCGCCCGTAGGGTCTCGTTCTGCTGCTAGATTGTCCAGGTACGTTTGGAGGGTGAGTCGTTCGTAGAAAAGAACGTCACGTGCTGCTACTGTTTCTTTCGAGTGGACGTCGAAAAATTTCCACGCGTTGTAGTGTATTCGATGCCCAGGTGTAGCCCCCATTGTGCGCGTTGTGAGAATCGGCCAGCTCGTGTAGTGTGGGGTCGGTAGTGTACCATGCAACCAAAAACTCGTAACATTTTTGTATTGCCCAGCTTTCCTGTCCACAGCAGATGCGGTGATGCGTTGTTCGAGAGTGAGGACGACGAAAGCAAGTTGTGCAGTAGTACAGCGTGGTCCATCGCCTTAGGCCACTGTCAGTTGGGTAGTCGCATGCCACGTAGCAGCTTGCGCATGGTGTTCTAGAAGGTCTGATTCATCCTTTCTGCCATGCCTTGTTGTTGATGGGCGTAGGGGAGGGAGATGAGTCGCTTGATGCCTCTCTCCGCCAGGTATTGCTTGAACCTCTGTGATTGATATTCTCCTCCCCCGTCAGGCTGAAAACTCTTTAGCTTCACCCCGGACTCCCGTTCTGCTACTGGAAGCCATGCAACGAAGGCTTCGAAGGCCGTGTCGCGACTTGGTAGGTTGAGGTGCCAGGCGTATCCGTTGACGGCGTCAATGAACGTTATCACGTAGTTATAAGCTCCTTGTCCGCTTTCGTGGGCGTACAATATGTCACTGTAGACCTTCTCCAGTGGTGCGTATGCTGGTGCACTCGGGTTGTGGTGAGAGACGAACGGTTGATGAGGTAAGTCGGCTTCGGGGCAGGTAAAGCAGATTCCACAAACTCGTTGAAGTTCTCTGCCGTCTGGTAAAAGTAACGAGTCCTTATCAAGAACTCCTGCTCTTATCGTGTTGTTCAGTGTCGTGTTGTTGGGGTGTCCTAACCTTTGATGCCACAGTGATTTGTCGGCGCGATGTCCAAGTGATCGCCTGTATAGGTCGGAGTTGGAGTAGAAGCTTGCGGTGACGTTGGCACTTCTGTGAACGTCGCGTGGAGCGGGAGTAAGCTGTTGAGCGGGAGTCGGTGTGGGGTCGTTGATGGGAGGTGGTGCTGATGAAGGGCCGACGATTGGTGCTGGTGCTGTTGTCTCTGTTGTTGCTTCTGCTTCTGTGGATGTTGCTGCTTCTTTTGCCGATGTTGCTGCTACTGCTATTGTCTGCTGTATTACAGCTAACGCCCTTGTCTGTTCTGCTTCAGGTATGGTGAACAAGTACCAGAAGCCTCCGGGACTGAAGTCAGGGTTGAGATCCGGCAGGTGCGTCCAAGTGGTGAAGTTAACTATCCCGTCGCTGTCGGCAGTGCCTTGATCTGGGATGAAGACGTTCTTCAGGACTGCCTTCCCGATGTAAAGTCCGCCCTTCCTGTGGTACAGCTTCAACTCTTGGATGGTGCTATCGGCTTCGAGGTGAATCCCTTTTGCCATAAGCTGGCTTACGCTGAGTAGGTTGTAGCCGAGTCGTTCTGCAATCAGGAGACATCTGTAGAATAACGTTAGTCTCGCGGGAATGCAGTTGAACTACTCTTTGTCGTCGTGTACGCAGGTTCTAATTGTTGACGATGGTTATCACGACTTCCCGGTTGAGACGTTGTCCCCGTTGAACAAAACGATCTGAAGAGCACATGTATTGTCTGCAGCAGCTGTCTAAGAACCAAGTGTCTTGGCCGGATGGTTCTTTCTGAACGATGGCGGCGTACGTCGGATTTGGTTCCAACGATTCGCGACGAGGTGTACGTTTGTCGAGTAGTTCTTCTGGTGAGTAAGTCGGTGGTGATCCAGTGATGCAGGAGTCCGTTCTTGCCATGGAGCTTACGATATTTCTTGTTCCTCGTGCAGGTTGTGATGTTGATGTTGAAGACTGCGCCTAGTTTGAGCAGCAGCAGCAGCAACAGCAGCAGCGTGAGCATTTCTGGTAGCAGCAGTTCGAGCAGCAGTGCCCCGAAGGGTATGCATGTGAGTGGCGTTAATGCGACGGATTTTGCCCTTGCTGTCGCCACAGTATTATCTAAGCCAGAGCACTGGAAGGATGCAGAGCTGTTTTTGCATGATGGCAACACTGCGAGCAAGATGCAGGTAGAGATTGCTGCTATTCTGGTGGCCAGGAGGAGGCTGCAGCAGCAAGGCTTGAAGCAGAGAAGTGGGATGAATGGAGGGGCAAGAGCAGGTGAAGAGGGATCTGCGCCTGCTATTGCTGCTGCAAGCATTGATATGAATGCCAGACTCATGCCTGCCAAAACGCTCGTGCCTGTCAACACGAATTCTGTGGTTGCTGCACTCACGTACCGGGTTGGTTGCATCTTGCAGTGGGTCCGAGTCTACGGCTCAGATTCCATCTCGGAGAAACATTGCTTCAAGGACGACCCTCGGAGCAACGCCCGCCTCATGCGCCACCCGCTTCGGTACCTTCCGAGGCTTCTGGCCAGGTTCGGCGCCATTCCCAAGCCTTTGGAAGAAAGCATCGTTGCTTTGGAGTGGGAGGAGTGGCCTCAAGGCGACGAAGCTGCCGTGAAGTTTCCTGTTAACCAAAAGAAGAGGTGTTTTGGGCTTGGGATTGTGGAGGAGCGGGGTGAGGCGGCTGAGAAGCTGACTTAGCACCCTCCTCATGACACGTCTGAAGCATCAAGGAGCGGCCGGCATGCAAAGGAAGAAAGATCCAATGCAGTAGGCCAAGAAAGTGATGAGGAAGTCATGCAGCGCATAGCGCGTGGCGTAGTGGAAGCAGACGGGGGCAGCAGGAGTGCAAGGAGGAAAGTTGCCAAGGAAGTCGAGAAAGGAGGTTGGCCGGAATCCATGCAGAGCAGAGCGCGTGAGAGAGCTGAAGCACTTCAAACCGTCGAGCAGAGAGCAACAATGCTACTGCCACCCAGAAGGAAACTTCCTATAGTTCGCTGCCGGGCAGATGTGGATTTCCTAGTGGGATTCGCAGGGTATTTTATGAGCCCTCCTGCATGCACCCAGTGCATCACCTGCTACGGAACTTTGATGCATTCAGTGTGCATCGCTGCTGTCATTGCCAACTTCGCCTACCGCGCCGTCAGCCATCTGTTCTCCCGCGTGTTCTTGGTCTTCCCGCCATCCTCCCCTTGCTTTGACGACGTCGTTGAGTGCTTGGACTTTCCACTGCGCTTGCCCAGGCCCCTGAACCTGCATATGCTGCTGAGGCGCGCCGAGCAAGTGCCTCTGTACTTTCTCATTCGCATGGCAGCGTATTTCTCACATTTTCTTTTGGGGATGGGTGATGAGTTCAAGACCGAGTACAGTGGTAGAGGGCAGGCGAAGCAGTCCAAGGTGCAAGACTTCTGGGATGGTGAGGCGGATCAGGAGAATGGTGGAGAAGTAAGGGAGGAGGTGCGGATGTGGTACTCCGCAGCAAAGGCTGCATGAAGGTTCAATGTGGGGAGTGCGGGAGAGAGCGAGGAGTGTAGAGGCGGCAGGAACGAAGAGAGAAGGGCAGCGGAGCGTGACATGAGGTGGGTTCTCGAGGCAGCAATCGCACCGAGGTACTGTGAGGGGTTGCAGGGGCAGCGTGGGTCTACCAAGGGGAGCAGCAGCACTACCAGAAGCAGCAGCACTGCCAGCAGCAGCAGCACTGCCAGTAGCAGCAGCAATCGTGCTTCGAAGGTTGGTAGCAGCAGCTCTAACAAGCGGATTGCCAAGCAGGGGGAGGAGCCGGCTTATCTGAAGGCATGGCCGGGGGGAGTCAATGTGGTGGCCTGTTTGCGAGAGATGCTGCTGGGGGAGCCGTGCTACCGCCCTGCCTCCCCTCCCATCTAAAGGTGTACAAACGAATACGAATATGAATACAAATACTTTTGAGGACTATTCTCCTAATATTGTCTGGTTTCTTATTTCTACGAATAGTGACTCAACACCGAATACGAATACGATTCGAATATTGCCGAATCCAAGGCGAATACGAATACTTGACGAAAAATAAATATAGGGGTTAGGGATTAGGGTTTGCACGCGGAAACATGTCTACTGAACTTATCTCGCACTTGTTTTTTTCTTACCGTATCCAAGCATATCTAAAAAGGGTTTAATGGGGAAATTCATGGGACTAAAGATGCATGTTGCTGTACTTGAAAAAAAATATTTGGGCTTACAATGAGGATACATGAGCTCATTATCGTTGTCATATGACATAATGGTGTTTGTCTTTTGTTAAATATTTTGTTCTGTATGTTCATTGAGGCGTTCTGTGGTTAAATATTTCGGCTGATGGTTTCTGGTCTTCACTTGAAGCTGAGGCGCGCCTTGACGGCTAACGTGGCAGTTCGAATGTAAACGGGGACAGAAGAGTGCATGCTGTTTCGCCATACTCGGCCTCTTTCGTCAAAGGGAAATGCGACCCAGTAATATTTTCGCAGTATCTCGCATATTCTCATGTTTCGACAGTTCACGCGGTGATCTGGCGAGTAATTGACGGCTGAGATCGGTGAATTATGTGCCCAACAATTGATCTACATCTCGCGAACCTTGATTAGCTTTAGTGTGGTGTGTGGTGCAAACACGATTTGCCATCGTTCAGGCTTCTTCTCACGATCACGACAAGGCGATGACAACATCGATTGTCGTGTTTCATGCATTGATAAATATCCACGATTGATAATCGCCACACTCACAATCTCAACGTTCTGATAGGAAGATGCGACCTCTTTCTCGTCTCTTCAATGTCCCCACCCAGTGATTGTGCATGTCCACAACACGACCTACATGTGTATTCAATTGATTGGTCCGCGTGAAAGACAGCAAATTCAAAGACACATGTGTGGCTCTTAGGTTTCACTTCGGAAACGGTGCGCCTCGATTGGCGGTAGTGTCAAATTACATTTGTATGTGTAGGCTGTAGTGGGGTAGCCTCTACTGAGTACAACACTTTAGGTCAAACCTAGTACTTGTACTCATCCTTGCTTGCTATTCAATCATTCCTGCACAGTTGATTCTGACATCGTATTCAGATTAGGAAACATGTTATGTTTTTAGGGCCCACCAAACGTTCCGCTAGTTCCTGCCCGAAGCGCCCTTGCGCTGTCCGGCCCTCTCGCACAGTGTCACGCTGCCCTGCAGCTACTCGCACTGCCTGCCCTAGCGCGCTGCCCTGCTGTCACACGCGCCCCTGCTGCCCGTGAGCAGCCCCTGCCCCGCGCGCCACTGCTGCCTGCGAGCAGCCCCTGCCCTGAGTGTCCTTGCTGCCCGCGAGCAGCCCCTGCCCCGCGCGCCACTGCTGCCCGCGAGCAACCCCGGACCCGAGCGCCCCTGCTGCCCGCGAGCAGCCCCTGCCCTGCACGCCCCTCCTACCCACGAGCAGCCCCGCAGCCCAGCGTGCCCCGCAGCCCTAAACGCGCCAGCGCGCCCCGCTGCTAAACGCGTCAGCGCGCCCCGCAGCCCAGCGCGCCAACGCGCCCCGCTGCTAAGCACGCTAGCGCGCCCTGCAACCTAGCACGCCAGTGCGCCCCACAGCCCACCGCGCCAGCGCGCCCCGCAGCCCAGCGCGCCAGCGCGCCCCACTGCGAAGCGCGCCAGCGCGCCCCGCAACCCTAAAAAAAAAAAAAAAAAAAAAAAAAAAAAAAAACCCCAGCGCGCCCTGCTGCCAAGTGCGCTGCTGCTGCACACGCTGCTACTGCTGCGCTGTGCCCTGCAGAGCAGCGCTGCCCAGGCCGAGCCGCGCCACCCAGCCCGAGCCGCCCTACTGCTACAACTGCTGCTGCTGCTGCTGCTGCTGCTCTTGCTACTGCAGCTGCTGGTGGAGGTGCTGCTGGGAGTGCTGGAGGAGCCGCCGCCTAGCCCCACCGAACCGCCCTGCTGCTACTATTGCTGCTGCTGCTGCTCGTGCTACTGCTGCTACTGGTGGAGGTGCAGCAGGGAGTACTAGAGGTGCTGCTGGTGCTGGAGGTGCTGGACCTACTACTGACCGTCATTGCATGTCATGGCCACTATCACGGCAGATGCAGCGGCTAGGGGTGGACAGCAGCGGTCACTGCCTCTCCCGGACGACCCCACCCCTCAGCAGCTTCGTGAGTGGGTTATTCAGCGAGGCAGTCCTGGTGGTGGAGTTTTTGGTTTTACGTGGCCTCAGCGACCTCGCGACTGTGCTTCTCAGTGATGCATCCCTGGTCGTATAGAGGATGTTGCTCTCGGTTCTAGTGAGTCTGCTGCCGCTCCAGGTGCTGGTGAGTCTGCTACAACTCTAGGTGCTTGTGAATCTGCCGACGCTCTAGGTGCTAGTGCGTCTACTGCCACAGGTCCTGCCTCAACTGAGACTTTGCACACTTTCACGCTTGACTCAGGTGCGTCACGTTGCTTCTTTTGTGATTGCACCACAGTCACACCACTCGCAGCACCTGTCCCAGTCTCACTGGCTGACCCCACTGGGGGCCCAGTAGTTGCGCGAGCCTCCACTTTCCTCCCGTATCCGGCAATCCCCGCTGGTTCTCTCTCAGGTCTCCAACTCCCCACGTTCTCAATCAACTTGCTGAGCTACGCAGTTCCCCAGGATGAATGGGTTGACACCTTCAATCCTGGAGGACAGCGTGTGGCAATGTGTAAGTGCTCACGGACTGGCCGTCACCTTGCTATGTTCACTCGTCAGCCTGGGTCTGGTCTGTACACCCTGACCACTGCGTCTGCACAGGTGGCGAAGTCAGGTCAGGTGGCTGTGTCAAGTCGGGTGTCTGCGTTTGGTCAGCTTGCAGCATCTTGCTCGTGTCGGGTACTCTCTCACCAGACTCTCCTCTGGCGCCACCGCCTAGGTCACCTCTCGCTGCCGCATCTCCGCAGCATGTACTCCCGTCTCCTTGTCTCTGGCCTTCCCAGGTCCCTGCCCTCCCTCCCGCACTCGCCTGCCCCGCCATGCCTTCCCTGCGTCGAGGGGCGGCAGCGCGCCGCTCCTCACTCCTCCTCGTTTCCTCCGACCACTGCTCCTCTGCAGACTCTCCACATGGACATTTGGGGCCCGGCCCCCGTCAGTGGGACGGACCAGGAGCGATAATTCCTGCTGGTTGTTGATGACTACACATGCTACACCACTCTCTTCCCCTTGCGGTGCAAGGCCGACGTCACCGGTGTTTTGATCCCCTGGATCCATGCTACTCATCGCCAGCCGCGCGAGCGGTTTCGTCGGGACTTGCCAGTCCTGTGTCTGCACCCTGACAGGGGCGGTGAGTTCTCTTCTGACCTCCTTGCAGAGTTCTGTCGAGACGAGGGCATCCGCCAGACATTCACGCTTCCGGCCTCTCCTCAGCAAAATGGGATTGCTGAGTGTTGCATTGGCTTGATCATGGAAGTTGCTCGTACCTCCATGCTCCATGTGGCTGCTCCCCATTTTTTGTGGCCGTTTGCGGTCCGATACGCAGCGCATCAGCTCAACCTTTGGACCCATGTCTCTGAGCCAGAGACCTCGCGCACACTCCGGTGGACGAGGAAGGTTGGCGATGCGTCGGTGTTTCGGGTCTTGGGCACGCTCTCCCTTGTTCGTGATGCTAAAGTGAGCAAGCTCTCCTCTTGCACTCTCCGCTGCGTCTTCCTTGGCTTCTCCACCGACGCCCCGCCGTGGCAGTTCTACCACCCGCACGAGCGTCGAGTCTTCTCCTCCCAGGACGTCACCTTTGACGAGTCTGTCTGTTTCTACAGGCTACACCCGCACCCGTCCCACCCGATCCCCCAAGCGCCTCTTTTCTTGGTACCAGTCCCCCCCCCCAGTAGACCCCCTCCCCCCAGAGGGTCCTGCTCTCTCAAGTGTGTCTCAGATAGACCCACCCCCCTTGGTTGAGCCTTTGGAGATCTCTTCTGACTCCTCTGGTCCTGGAGGTGCTCGTACTGGAGGTGCTGGAGCTGCCGGAGCTGGTGGTGCTGTTAATGCTGGAGGTGCTGGGGGTACTGGAGCTGCTGGCACTGGAGGTGCTGGTGCTGCTGGTGCTGGAGGCGCAGGAGCTGGAGGTACTGGAGGTGCGGGAGCTGCTGGTCCTGGAGGTGCTCGTACTAGAGGTGCTGGAGCTGCCGGAGCAGGTGGTGCTGCTGGTGCTGGAGGTGCTCGAGGTGCTACTGGAGCTGCTGGCACTGGAGGTGCTGGAGGTACCGGTGGTGCTGGAGGCCCTGGAGCTGGAGGTACTAGAGGTACTGGAGGTACTAGAGGTGCTGGAGCTGCTGGTCCTGGAGGTGCTCATACTAGAGGTGTTGGAGCTGCCAGAGCAGGTGGTGCTGCTGGTGCTGGAGGTGCTGGAGGTGCTACTGGAGCTGCTGGCACTGGAGGTGCTAAAGGTACTCCTGGTGCTAGAGGTGCTGGCGTTGCCGGAGCAGGTGGTGCTGCTGTTGCTGAAGGTGCTCGAGGTGCTACTGGAGCTGCTGGCACTGGAGGTGCTGGAGGTACTGGTGGTGCTGGAGGC